AAAAGGAAGCTAAAACTTAATGATTCCATAATTGAGCATTTTTTTAGATACTTAATTAGAATTTCTGTAAAAATAAAACACTTGAATTAAAATTTCCAAATTTCCCGTTAATAATAATAATAAGTTGAATTTGTATTTTTTTTTCAAATTAGTCAAATTTTACATAATTTTAAAAATTTTAAATTACTGTTGTGCCAAAGTCAATACCGACTATAGATGACAAAAAAAATAAGTTTTGTGCAATTTGCCATTTGCTTAGAGCAATGTTTTTGATAATAATAAATTGGTCAATTTTTGACTAATTTGACGAAAAAGTGTCTTGATTGTTTAGTTTTTGATGACAAATCTAATGGTTTTAAAATTTTCAAAATCGGACCAAAATTGACAAACATAACAAAAAAAAAATACCCAAAATTTTGTCGATTTTGCAAAATTTTTGATTACTATTATTTCAAAATTTGTACTGAATAAAAATATAAAAAAAAAATTAAACTTCGTGCAGTTTGTCCATTTGGCCATAGTAATATTGTTGATAATAATAACTCGGTTAGTTTTACATAATTTAAGCGGAAAAAAACGCTTCGGTTGTTCAGTTTTTAATCACAAATCTATTGGTGTTAAAAATTTTAAAATCGGGCCAAAATTGACAAAGATAACAAAATTAATCGGGCAAAATTTTGACAATTTTGCAATATTTTTGATAACTGTTGTTTCAAGATCGGTACTGAATATAAATATGAAAAAAAATTTAAGCTTGGTGTAGTTTGTTCATTTGGCCATTTAATATTGTTGATAATAACTAAATTGATTTTTGACAAATTTGCCGAAAAAAATGTCTCGATTGTTCAGTTTAGTGTTAAAATTTAAAAAAACCAGACCAAAATTGCCAAAGATAACAAAAATTTTGAATTATTATACAGGTGGCGCCAGAACTCGCGCCCCAGAGAAAAATTTCAAGTAAGATAAGATACCAGGAACATGAAAAAAATGTTTAAAAAATTTTATCTGTCAAAAAATTTTGACATTTATTTTTTGACATTTGACATTTTTTTATGTATATATAATGATACTGATGATCTTGTATATGTGTTTTCACAATTATTTAGTAAAGATACAAAAATTTTGCCAATAAATGCCACAATTAACATTGAATAGAGTTACAATTAAGGCTACAGCTTCCTTGTTTCCTCCTTTAATAGCCTATAGCAAAAAAGGAAAAATAATTTTCCAACAGAAATAAATTGAGTCAAAGTACAAACTTTAAACCCTCATAACTTCGAAATTTTTATAGATAATTTTTTTTTAACATTTTTCCATGTTCCTGGTTTCTTACTTTATATGGCATTTTTTGGTATTTTTTGTTGTTTTTTTTTTAGTGAATCAGTTGATTGGTTCTAATAAAATATCGATACAAATCTGAAGGTCAAAAATTACAATTGAACAAACAAAATGATAAATGATCAAAAATGTGTCTTATTTTTTTCCTCGATACCCACAACGCACATAATTTGCCACAATTGCATGATCAACAGTGCATTTCCTGTCATATCATCCCGACCATAAGCAAGGACACAAATACCTCCAACCGTTACTCATAAATAGTAAGAAAAACAAAATTCTCGGATGTTTTCCGAGCACAAGGCTACAATAAATTAAATCAGCACTCCCTAATTTGTAAATTAGGTCGTGACTCGATTTTTTGCTAATTTATTATGTAATCAAACACTCGGATGCGATGGATGCATTTTTCCCACCACACCCGACCACACCCTGTATATTTTTCTCGGAATCTTCAATGATGTCAAAAATTAATTACTATGTGATTCAAGGATAATTGCGACACTTTTAACCCTCCAAATACGACTCTATGTGCGAGTTGTTTATTAATTAATTAATTAATTTTGCAGTTGAATGCGCAACAAGTCTATTCGCAATTCCAGCACGGAGTTTGGGAACTTTTGAACAAAGTGAGTCTTCGAAATGTCCCAAATCCTTCAGTTGCAAGGCAAATTAGGTACTTGTCGATTGTGGGGCCTGCAGCCTTATCACCTGACCAACTCGATAGAGTAAGTATTTTATTTTAATTTTTTATTTATTTATAGCAAGATGAATGTAGTCATAAAATACAATACATGCAACGTTGTAATTTAATTAGTCATAAATAAAACATCAAGGTCAAATCCTAATTCATTATTTTGTCTGTGAATAAGAAGCAACTTAGATCAATTGTAAAAAAATAATTTTAGGAGAAAAGTTAACGTTAGTTTTGTCGTTCACTGTACCCTAAAAAACATGTTTTTTTTGTTTTTTATTTTTTTTTAAACCTTGTTATTAATAAATTAATTAGTGATTAAAGTCATATAATTTTGTGTACAGTTTGCAACAAAAATAATGTTAAACCGTTGTGGAAGAATTTGTCAAAAGCTGGAAAAAAGTGTTGCAAATGTTT